TGCCTTTAGCACCTTGCCACCTTTCAAGAAACTGACCTTCCTCTGCTTCCCCATGATGCAACTTTCACAGATGCCGAAATCAATAGACTTCAGTTCTGGTAGCTTGCCTTTGGACCGAAGCTCTTTCATACCTCTCTGACTCATGTGTCCAAGTCTGCAATGCCACATGTCTGTTGTGCTCTCTGCAACCGTGGTATCACGTGGTATCAACATACCAGTTGTCATATATAGTGTACCATATATAGTGTACCAGTCTTCTTTCTTCTTACCCCGAGCCAGTACCAGTGCTCCTTTAGTAACCTTCCAGGTGTTATCACTGAACACTACTGAATGACCTCCTTCATCAAGATGCCCAACAGATATGAGGTTCTTTTTCAATTCAGGAATGTGTCTAACCTTTTGCAGGATCCATTTGTTTCTGTTAGAGAGTGCAATTTCAACATCTCCCATCCCCACCAAGTTCAAAGCTGCTGCGTCAGCCAGGTATACTTTCCCAAGGTCACTGAAACATAGTTATTCATTAACTTCTGGTGGGAGGATGTGAAAAGAAGCCCCCGACCCCAGTATCTAGTCATTAACAGAGTTATGAACTGCAAGCAATAGCGCATCCTGCAGTGCTTCAGTTACAGCGTTAGCACTGATGTTCTTCGTCTTCTTAGGATTTTTTCAGTTTTTCTTTATGTGGCAAGTTTTGCCACAATTCCAGCAGGTTGCTTGTTGACCAGGCTTTAACTTGTAACTTGTTCTTGCTTCTATGCTTCTATGCTTTGATTTCGACCTTCCTCTGTTTGAGTTCCTGTCTTGTGATCTCCCTCTGGAATAAACATTCAGTGCTGAACTCGAATTTGAGATCTCGCCAGAATCTTTCCTGCGCACCTCTTCAGCAAGGATCAAGTCACGAATATCATCATATTTCAATTTGGTTGTACCTACAGAGTTGCTAACTGTCATCCTCATGGCTTCCCAGCTATTTGACAATGAAGCCAACAATATCAGCACACGTATCTCATCGTCAAAATCAATTTCAACGGATGATAATTGATTTGTAACAGTGTTGAAATCATTCAAATGTTGAACAACCGACACACCTTCCTCCATCTTCAGGTTGAATAACTTTTTCATCAAGTGCACCTTGTTATTCGCCGATGGCTTTTTATACATACTTGATAAGGCCGCCATAAGATTTGTCATCGTCCTCTCCTTTATGACATTGTGAGCAACGGATCTCGATAGGGTTAATCGAATAACTCCCAGAACCTGTCGATCCAACAGATTCCAATCAGCATCTTCATCTTTTCCAGTCCCTTTCCAAGTAATGGAAGATGAAATTTCTTCCCATAGAGGTAATCATCTATCTGCATCCTCCAGTATCCAAAATCCGTGCCGTCGAACTTCTCGATCCCTGAAACCTTCACTTCTTCTCCGGCAATCGTTCTTACCATCGTTCTTCCTCAGATCTGCAGATCTGAATCGAGGCTCCGATACCAATTGTTGCAAAAAACAACGGCGACAATAAAGCGAAAAACAGATCTAAAAAATTACACCAGAAAAGACGACACAAGATTTACGTGGCTCGGCAAATTGCCTACGTCCATGAAGCTGCAGCGGATTATATTAGCTTTGAGGATTACACCGTCTACCACGTCGACTTACAAGAAATAATTCTCCCTCTCTCTCTCTGTCTCCTCACCTTCTCTCTCTCTCTCTAAACCGAGAGGCACACCAAGAAGAAGAAAGACAACTTTAAAGAAGAGCTTCCTTATGATTCCTTTATTTCAGTCTCATGACAAAGTATAATCCAAGGAGAGAAAGCTGTTTGGAGAGTCATACCCATCCCTGTAATCGTGAGCCCCTTTTAAGGCTTCACAGTATCCAGCTTATTTTGGTAGCCCTTAATTTTGTGATTCTATGGAATCATGTTTTAATGACCCATATAAAACCCATTAAGGAAAGCTATCAAATTCATTGTCTTTTTTCTCTATAGCAATAGTAGGTGCGGGAGATTAATTTGGTAAAGCTTAATTAATTAATTAAGCTTTCCTTAATTTTTCCTGTCAATAGAAGGCAACTGCTTTAAATAAAAAATTGGGAATCATCAAGCTATAGCAGAGAACAAAATACATAAGCAAAAGAATTAAGAGCAGATAAATTAGAATCAATTTATCAAATGATTTCTATGAATCTGTTGTAATAGGAAGTGGACCGGGTCTCCACCTTCCTCAACAAAATGCTTAACCATCATGAATAAATTTTCATGCATGATTATCATTCTTACAATTATCTCTCTAATTCGATGTTGATCATAGTTCCTTGGGTCATTAATAATAGGAATCTCAATCTTTGCACTAGCATCATGAGGCAACAAATTAAGCAAATATACCTTTTATCTGATGAGTCGACATGTTTGTTCTTTGTTTTGATTTTTCACAGTGTTTAGCATGTTTATGTAGTTGTGAAGTGGTGCCACTCTTAGATTTATAAAATTTGATTCACTAGCATATGCATTGCTAAAAAGAGGTTGCAAATCCTTTAGTTGTGATTATTGTTTCAACAAAATATTTCCAAACTAAGGATTTTCTCTTGTTTGAATTCAACAAAAAATTTATTAACAGATGAAGCAATTTGAGAAGGATCAAATTTGACATTGCAACACTCTAAATAAAAAAATTTAAATAAATCATTCATCACAGTTTGAGATCCACCCAACACTCAATAAATGGATAAAACAACAAGTATTCTTGCTTTTGGAAAAAAAAATTCAAAAAAAATTTAAACAACAACCACACTTCAGAGGCTAAATTACGCACGAGTAAAATTTAGGCTTGTGGTAGAATATTACATAAGTTTGAAACTCTCAACATCACGAGTGCAATAGTCCATGGATCAAAATAGGAAGGATTGATTTTTCATAAAAACTGTTAAAGTGCCAACATTATTGTACCACAAAGCAGAACATGACTGAAAGTTGGGGAACACTTGGTATGCATTGATTCCTCTAGATAAGAGAAAACCAACATTATTATCTATCCAAAAATCAAATGCACGTGTTAAAAATAGTAAGTCCAAAAAGGCATAGCGATTGTACGTAATTTTTATTTATTTACACATATTTAAGCCCTAAAATGTTATAGTTACATGCACAACACTCAAACACTTGACATAGTAATTGTATATAAATGTAAATATGAAAGTTTAGGTGTTATGTCTGTGAATAAATAAGAATTGTATGGTATGCATGCAAATTTCTCTTAATTAAAAGAAAGAAAAGAAGGGTGTTCAAACACGAATTTAATTTATGAGCTCAAATATTTTGATATTTATCTTTGTATATATGAGCTCAATCATTATATCAAACATGATTTGGAAACATGATTTTCAAACCCCTGATATTGGAATGGAGTGATGATGGACAGAGTTTGATGCAACTAGGATAATAATTTTCTCTCTAAAATGATATTATGAACAAAGCAAATTCAAAACAAATATTAAAGCTATTTCTTGATATAGGTAAAATGCTATTGATTGTCAAAAATCAATAGTTGTATTCATTAATTTCCATTTAATATTACCTTATCAACCAAATTTGACAGAAGGTCTGAGAAAATTATTCATTGAATCACAGTAGATAAATAATATTTTTATCAGCTATCATAAATAAGCTCACGTATCTTGATAACTTCTAAATTCTCAAATAAATTAGAGCTCAATAGATAAACATCTAAAGTCTTCTTATTACATGAAAGAGAAGAAACCAAAATAGAATCTTTGCTTTTCTTCAACCACAATGAGAAGGCTTTCAATGACTTCTCAAAAGCCTAAGTGGTGGGTTCTCATAACCCTAAAAAGCAATCCAAAACCAATGTCAATATGAACTGTTCTCACAAATGTGAACATCTTATAAACCATGCCAAAACCAAATTATTTAAAGCTACCCACAGCCATATAGGATAAATCTACCACAACCCTCAAGTATGAGCTAATGAATTCACTAGATAACTCACAAAGTCTACCAATCAGTAGTTGAGCTTCAAACGTTAAAAACCCTAAATCAAAAATCATGGTAAGAACAAATTAAAGAAGAGAGAAAGAAGAACAAAATCATAATGAAGCAAGATAAAAAAGCACAAAACCTAGCAAGCCTCCGATCCCAGCTTCGAATCAAAAGATATGAGGAGAAGACTACATCGAGAAATCTTAAAAAGACTTTCGCTCTTTTAAGCTGTTCCACCGCAATGATGCACGCGACACAAGTGCACAACCAAATAATTAGGGAAGGAGTAGGATAGTGTAGTGTAGATTTATATATTTATTACTATATAGACTTATGATTTTACATAAATTTATTTTTGGTTGGGATAAAATTTACATTGTTTATTTAAAAAAATTCAATTTAAAAGAATTTAATATATTTTAAATTTAAATTTTTTATTACAAAAATCATAAAATTTAAATATAAAAATTTTATATTATTTTATTTTTAGTTATTTATTTATTTGGACCCTTAACGAACCAAACACAATCGTTTACGAACCGAACCCAAAAATGTTGTTCACGTTGGGCTCCCTTGCTAAACGATCAAATTGAACATGAGCAAATTTTTGAGCCGTACTAGAGTTGTCAGTGAATAATAAGCCATTTTGACAGCCCTACTTCTAACATTCCATTAAAGTAGGAGTGAAAATGTAACTCTATCAAAGTTTCCTATGATTGTAAATTGGGGTTATTTTATGGATGAAATGAATAATATTTTCTCAGTGAAATTGTTCATCCCGCACTCTTATGTTTTCTATTTTTTTTTCTATCTTCTGAATGCTTTATACCTCTAAGACTTTTTCTAAAAATAAAAAACAGGATTCAACACATTTAAGTTTTTTTAACTTTTTTTATTAACTCATTTAAATACTGATTTATTTGACATAAATAAATTAAGTATAAATTAATTTCAAATATTATAAATTTTAAAGAAGTAAATTTTGATGTACCAAACAACTATACTCCGCTCGCGCCAGGGCTGTCGTCGAGCCGTAGAGCCAGTCAAAGCGGAGTATAGTTGAAAAACGCGCAGCCCGATTGTCGCCTCCCGTGCTCGGGTTCACCGCCAAACCCTAGCCTTCGTATGGAATAATTTCTCGGAAAAGAGAGAGGAACATCTTGGTTGTTGTTGCCTATAATTCTCTTCTCGACCTGTAGATTCAGGATCCCCGCCGTCTGGTTCGAGAGAAATTAGAGCAATTCTTGTTTTGTTCCTCTTTCCTTGGCCCAGTCCAGGCTCTCGGCTCTACCTAATCCAGACGGTGAAACCCTAACAGTTGGTGTTGTGGTTGTCCATTCGCATAGCATCTTTCCCACCTTTAAGTCCTAAGCTTTCTAGCTGTTTTTCTTTTGGGATTCAGGGGGATCTTTCGCTCCTTTTATGGCTGCCACAGCGACGGGCTCTCAAGGAAGCGGGCCGCGGTACGCCCCCGAGGACCCGACACTTCCGAAGCCGTGGAAGGGTTTGGTCGATGGGAGCACTGGGTATCTGTACTATTGGAATCCTGTGACGAATGTAACGCAGTACGAAAGGCCTGCTGCGGATGAACATCTTCCCCCGCCACCGCCGCTTCTAAAGTTGGCCCCCCTATCATCTGTCCAGGTTCATCAGCGTCATCATGAAGAAGACGGGAGATCTCGGAGCCATCAGGTACTGGCTAGATGAACATCAAATTTGTAACTAACTGTATATTCCTTCATATTGAACCGCTGCTTGATTTTGGAAAAAGAATTGTGCTCTTTTCTAATCTCAATCTCTTGAGAGCCTGTCTAGTAGAAATATATGTTTCATCTGATGCATAGCGATTATGGCTAGCATGTTGGATTTGGCACAATTTTTTTGAAATTTATTGTCTTTTGGTTACATTACTATAACTAAATGAAAATATGAAACTAAATAGGACACAATGAAGAAAAAGCATTATGTAGCCGACCCTGCCTAGTGGGATTAAGACTTTGTTGTTGTTGTATTGTCTTTTGGTTACATGAACGTGATATGGGGCTTGTTATAGTAAGTTATCTGTAAGGATTGAAAACACATTACCTGAATATTTTAGTTACTTGTCTGGATTTTTCACTGTAATTCTATACGACTCCCATCAATGTACTATTTCGATGTAAAGATTGAGTGGTTCCATTTGCATGTGTGATAGATTACATGCAAAAGAGTAGGCTGTTGTTGTTTAAGAAATGAAACTGAAATGCATAAAGCTCGGTGCAATGAATTTAAATTTTTTTTAGCTGCATTGCATCTGATATTGACTAAATCATTTTTCAGCATCAAGGAGTTAGAGTTAGTGGTGTACGTTCAGGACATGGTTCAACTGATGTAGGGCATGGATCTTCTGGCCCACACAGTTATGCACATGGCTCTGTCCATTCACGATCTATAAGAAGTCACGGGGCTTTGGATGCAGGACTTGGTTTATCCGCTGAAGCATACCGCCGTCATAATGAAATAACTGTTACAGTAAGTTTTTGCATGGTTACTATTCTTGCCTTATATACGTCTATATGTTTCTTTTTTTCTGAACTCTGAGTTTCTAGCAATTCTTTAATTTATGTTTGTTACATATCTGCAATATAGAAGTTAAGATGTACGATATGGTGTCGAATTTTTGTTGGAAGAGTTCTTTCTGCATCTGGACACCTTTTTCATTTTCTCAAGATGGATTACCTCACTGCAAAAGTGTCTGCTAAATTAATATTTTCAGTCTCTATGTTCTCGTAATTTTCAAGTACTGTTTAGTATGAATTTATCAAATTTGTTGCGAAAATATGTAAATCCTGCATTTCTTGTTGTATTTGATTTACAAAGTTGTTAATTATTGATCATGTGGGTTCATGTAAATTCTTCTTGTTTATTATAAAAAAGGTTCACAATTTTGGATCCCTATTCATTCCTCGAGCTTGCTGTGTTTTTATGGTCCATGTTGGTCTTAACTTATGTTGAAGTGAACTGTATCTTTTTTTGGTTCTTACTTTTCATTTTGATAGTTTTTTTCTAATATTACTAGTTTTGTTTATTATCCTTACTTCTGGTTGTGATCAGTTTTGCATAAAATTATATATTGTAAATGTTAATTAAGCCTCCAATTTTTGACAGATTTAAATATATTTGGGAACAACAAAAGTAGTTAGTGATTGAGAAATGATTTTATCGCCACATAAGTTTTTTCCAAGGGGTTTTAATCTGTTGCTATATTGACCAAAAGGTTTAAGTGGATAAATTTAGTATACACTATAATGTGGTACTAAAAGAAAATTGCGGAAAGTACTTTTGGCAAACTTTTGTTTGGCAATAACATTCTTGCAGCTCTTCAGTAATTTGTGTTGAGAATGAGCTTTTTACGAACCAAATTTGCTAATGTATATTAGCTATAAAAAATTATTTTTTTTTAAACTTATTCAGAATAATATTTTGTAGTATCCGCAATATCTTTTAAAAGTCCTACTTTTGCCACACTAGTTCACAAATATTTTACCTGCAACTGCTTCCTTCCCAAATGAACACTTAGTGCACTTGTATGATAGCTGCCACCCATGTGTTTGATAATTTTTTTATTTTGTTATGGTCAATGTTATGTTTTTGAGGGTGCTGATAAGAATGATATTGTTTTGAGGCTGCTGATAAGAATGATATTGTTTTGAGGGCGTTGATAAAATGAGCAGCAATTTTCAGGTGAGATGGGCTGTGATACTTGTCAAAATAACCCAGTGTGGCATGGTATTTATTGATGAACCCCAAAACTGAGTCTTATTTTTTTTTTTTTTTGGTCTAGCTTCAAATTAATACCCTGGTTAAACCAATATGATGGATCGTTTTGACTGTATTGAAACTATGTGTTAACATGGATAATCTAGTGGATGGCTGTTGGGGTTTGTGATGCTTCTTTATCTTTACCGTCAACATGTAGTGAAGATGTGCGGACAAAAAGGAGGATTTATTCAAGTACTACGTCTTCAGTAGTGCTGATCCTTAAAATACAAATTTAGGCTGTACCGAGACTATTTGAGTTGTTATATTTGAAAACTAACTGTTGTAGTTGGGGGGATCTTCTTTAATGTGTGCATATAAGAATTGAATGTGGCATTTTAATGTCGGTGGAATATAGTTTGCATTGTGTGTTGTGTTTGTGTTAGCAAGTTTTTCCCCCTTGAAGGAAGGAGTGGATGTTGTTTGATCTCCATTCGATGCAAATGTGTGATATCACAGTAAGTTATTGCTAGTTTCTATTACATTTTAAAGATTACTGACTAGGTATATTTTTAATATTCTTCAGGGAGATGATATTCCTGCACCATACATGACATTTGAGTCAGCAGGTTTTGCACCTGAAATTTTGAAAGAGGTACGTGCCTCATTGACACATTTCTAATTTTTCAGACTTCTTTTGTCTGCATTGGGCAATATAAGTTTTCAGTGCTTTTAACTTTTCATGCATGATATATTCTATTTTAACTTGCAGGAGGTTCCATTTATTATTTCAGATTTATGTCTATTTATTTTCTTTCCATTTTGTACTTCTTTGCCGCAGGTGCGATATTTGCTCCAGGGAGGAGCTAAATGTCGTACTGTGATGCGTTTTGCTGCCCTCATTAGTGAGGGCTGCATATAGCTGGAGAAACCTTTATGGTGGACTGTTTTCGGGAAGGGCTTTCCAAGGCATCAGTTCTCTAGCTGCTGCCCTCTTTGGGGTGGCCCACATGTAGCTGGAGTTACCCTTGCGGTGGACCAATTGTTGGGGCGCCTTCCTAGTCACCAGTCTTGTGGCTGGGCTGCTTCTGCGATTTGGTTCAGGCTGCCACTCAGTCAATAATAGAAGGCCCTTTCTTCCGCTCCAGCTTGCATCTGCAAGCAGTTGTCTGCTCTCAGAGGATACACGTTTTCTGGCATTAGTATATCCTGCACGTCTTCTGGCATTAGTATATCCTGCAGTTTACTTCCAAATATGACAAGTATAGAAAAAAGAACCAAGTGATTATAGATTTAAAGAATGGTGCTCCTCATCGAGGGTTGTGGGTTTTTGCTTTTCCAGGTACACCGTGCAGGTTTCTCTTGTCCTACTCCAATTCAGGCTCAATCATGGCCCATTGCATTACAAGGCCATGATATTGTAGCTATTGCGAAGACAGGCTCTGGGAAAACAATTGGTTATCTCTTTCCTGGTTTTGTACATCTTAAACGTGTTCATAATAACTCAAAAATGGGTCCAACTGTGCTAGTTCTTTCACCAACTAGAGAGCTGGCAACCCAGATTCAAGTTGAGGCTGAGAAGTTCGGGAGAACATCAAGAATTTCATGCACGGTTAGCTCTCTATCTTCATCCCCTCTCTCTTTCCCCTTGTTTTCTCTCTCATATACACGTGCTTGTAGAATTGTGAATTTTTTTTGTTATTGTTTGGTGTGATTTGTTTTTGTGTGTTTGTTGTTCTTGTGATTTTTTAAATTGTGGCATTGCGCCATAGTTACTGTTTTTTTTTTGCGTTGTTTGAAAGCCCTTACATCGAGGCATGTTATCTATTATTTGTTTATATGCTTCTTTTGCATTGAAATTTCCTATTCTTGATAGCTATTACACTGCGTAGTAGTTTTTATTTTTATTTTTTATATATATATATATATATATATATATATATATATATAGATTATGAATTTAATATAATTTTTCCTCAGCCTATTGGAATTTTGTTTTAACAGCTTTTAAGCCTGTTTAACTCTTACAGGCCTATGCATCATTTTGTTGCCTGAAAAACCTCTGAATTGATACTTGCTTTGCTGTATATACTTGTTTAACAGTTACCAAATTTGTTTTGCCTTTTAAAACACATGCATAAATACGGTGACTAAGCCCTTCCAATTGTAACGAATTTTGTGTATTATTTATTCTTGGGTTGGAGTGTGCATGTAGGTTTTCTTTTGTACTAGCTTTGTAAGTTCTTTTTCTTTCCCTTCTAAAAATTTTTTTGTTATTTGATTTTAGAAATGGTTTATTGCACTAGATTTATAGTTCAGTTTCTTATAATTTGAATGCCAACATAATGACACAAGGATATGGCAACATGATCCAACTCTAAGAAGTAGGACACAAGTTGTCATTGGCAGAATGTTCTTTTTTATAATATTAATATTGAATGTGATTAAAACACACAACAATAGGATTTTATATTAAAAACATTACACAGTGATATATAATATAACATTTTTTTTAACAAAAAAGCTTAATATTCATGAAGAAAAACTAACATTATTTAGTACAATTAAATTTTAAAATTTTTTCAAGTGAACTGATTTTCGTTTGTTAATAACTTCCCAATAATAGCATTCTTTATAGGATTATTATCAATTCATTTGGTAAATAATTTAGAAGTCGTTTTTCTGTTACACCATAAAAAATGATTAAGAGTGACAAAAATTATAAAACCTTTTTAATAACATCACTACTTTTTAGAGAAATTTAGAATATCATTATAAAATCTTAAAGAAAATAATTTCTATTTTTAAAAGAAAAGACTAAAATAAGAAATAATAATATATTTGAAATAGGTTTAAGGAAGAAACTCAAAAAAGCTAATGCCATTCACATTTTTAAATATATGAGTGGAGAGAACGAAAGTGCTGAATATTCAGTAGTGGAAAACTTGACACTCATCACAGTTGGTGGAAGAGCAACGAATGTGGGCTTTAATTCTTATTGTGCGGGTTCGTCATGTGGATGCCAAAGAGAACTCGACTGAATGAATGTTACGGCAATGCAAATAAGAACGAGCACAAGGTTTGCGAATATCAAATAGCAAACAATAGAGAATAGAACTCAAGTGTGGTAGGTATGCAAACACCGAACAAGAAAAGGAAGCCAAAATAAGGATTATGATAGCGATAGATTGTTTTTGAGGAAAATCAATCCTTTTTTGTAAATTTGACTGCTAGGCATGAACTAGAACTAAACTATGATAGATTGTTTTTGAGGAAAATCAATCCTTTTTTTGTAAATTTGACTGCTAGGCATGAACTAGAACTAAACTATGAAAGCTATATCGTGTTTCTTGTGCCCCAGTCCGGTTGCTCTATTGTTGATCATATTTGATCAGTGTCTAATCCTTGCATGGTTTGAAACATCTTATGCATAGTTTTGTTTTAAGTTTGTCAAAAACTTGTCAGAAGCATATCTATGTCCAACACATATAAAATGAACGCAATAAATGTTGAATTGTCAGTGCTTCGTAGATGTGTTATCATATATGTATTGACTTTTATATATTGTTTTCATGTTTATTTGTTAACATCTATCTGTTTTGGTGAAGTGTTTGTATGGTGGCGCCCCAAAAGGTCCGCAGTTAAAAGATTTAGATCGAGGCGTGGACATTGTGGTTGCAACTCCTGGAAGATTGAATGACATTTTGGAGATGAGGAGAATCAGCCTACGTCAAGTCTCATATCTGGTTCTTGATGAAGCTGACCGAATGTTAGACATGGGATTTGAGCCACAAATAAGGAAAATTGTAAAAGAAGTTCCTCATTGTCGTCAGACTCTCATGTTCACTGCTACTTGGCCTAAAGAAGTGAGGAAGATTGCTGCAGATTTGCTTTCTAACCCTATTCAGGTTAACATTGGAAATATTGATGAACTTGTTGCCAACAATGCTATTACCCAGGTTTGGAATCTAATAGCCTTTTCATTAACCTAGTGGTTTTGTTAATTTTTGGCCACTGAAATTTTGTAGTATCGACTAATCATTTTTTTGTTTTCCCATCTATTATAGTATGTAGAGCTGATAAGACCGATGGAAAAGCAAAGAAGGTTGGAGCAAATATTACGGTCCCAGGAAACAGGTTCTAAGATCATAATCTTTTGCACTACGAAGAGGATGTGTGACCAGCTAGCACGTTCTCTTGTTCATCAGTTTGGTGCTGCAGCTATTCATGGTGACAAATCACAGGTAGAGCGGGATAGGGTTCTGAACCAATTCAAAACTGGGAGATCACCCATACTTGTTGCTACAGATGTTGCTGCTCGAGGATTAGACATTAAAGATATCAGGTATGGTGATCACTTAGTTTTCTTTACCCTTTTTTTTCAATCAGCGAAATTATTGGATTTTATATTAGTCTTAAGTATCATATTGCATCGGCAGGGATTGATTTATGCATATTCTTGCAGGGTTGTAATTAACTATGACTTTCCCACTGGTGTTGAAGACTATGTTCATAGGATTGGGAGGACAGGAAGGGCAGGTGCCACTGGTGTTTCTTACACGTTCTTCTCAGATAATGATTCTAAATATGCTCTGGAACTTGTTAAAGTTTTGGAAGGGGCAGATCAGCGAGTGCCACCAGAGCTCCGAGACATGGCAGCACGTGGTGGATTTGGTGGCAAGTCGAGACGCTGGGGTTCTGATTCAAGTGCTCGAGACAGAGGCCGATTTGGAGCCGGTCGAAATGATTCCACCAATGTTGGGAGAAGCTGGCATGTCCTATCATCTTCAAGTAGAATAGTAGCTGATCATGACCGCAGTAACTACGGGCGTGATCGTGATGTTCGTGTCAGGTATTTGTTGGCTCTGCGCCTCTTCATTATCAGAAAAAGTATTTATTTACTTTGCATGTTATAATGGTGCCAATATTCTTTACCATTTTTATTCTATTTTTCAAATCCAAGTCTTTAAACCAAACATATTTTCAATTTGATATGATTATATTATCCATTTGTCCCCCTCAATTATGACTGGCTAGACAAGTTTAGGCTAATATTTGATGCTACATACTACAGAGGATGTGCCCCGTTTATTAACTTCTTTTGAATGTGGTGAGCGTTCTACTCTATATTATTGCTATTGCATTCCATTTTTGAAATCACTAGTGTAATTGAAGTTTCAAAATTCTAATCTTTGTCAAGTTTAGGGAAATTAATCAGAAGGATGGCAAACGGAAAATTTTTATCACTTGTTTGACTTGCCGGTAATGATGGCACAGAATTGTGGAATAGAAATGCTAGAAATTTACTGTTTCTCCAACACGCGCTGCAAAAACATTGTTATTAGTTGGAGAGTTTTTGAATGCCAACTGCCACACTTTGGGCAAGAGTTGGCAGGCTCTATTATGTCTGGATGTCAATCCCTTATCCAAATTTCATTTTCTTGATTTCTGCCTTTGGTCTCTTTAGAAATGAATTTTCCTTTGCTTTCTTCCACATCTTCCTTTCTCTTATAATTTATTTCTACTGCAACCAACATTTTCCTGATGAACTGGAATTAACTATTTTTTGGTTAATTGGAATTGTTCGTTTCATGCAAATATAAGTTGGGGAATACCTACACCCTTGAAAACATAGTTCATTATGCAAAGTTTATAATTCGGGTTTTCCTATTTTTAATTAATAATTACATGCACTTATTTTTAGAGGTTTCATGGTGTACTTCATAGATATTTAACTATTTATAATTCCAGCAGATATAATCGTTTGGATGGGCACGCCTTAGATAAGCATCCTAACAATGATGCCAGAGGCATCTTGAGAGGCCGTAGCCACAGCTATAGCCCAAGTCCTAGCCCAAGGAGAGGGCATGGTCTGTTGAACAATGGTCACAGTCGCAGCCGCAGCAGGAGCCGATCTAATACTCGCAGCCGGAGCAGGAGTCGTAGTAGCAGCATCGGACGCAGCAACAAAAGGCTACGTACTGGTGGGTTTTCTGACAGGCCATCACCAAAATACAAGCGGAAGGATCTATCAGTTGACCATCACCATGAAGGACAATCACCACCATGGAAACAAAGGGAAACTTCAAATGATCGTCATCTTGCTTCACCTCCACGCAAGATTGCCATCACTAATAATCGTAGCCGCAGCAGGAGTCGTAGTCGCAGTATCGAACGTAGCAACGGAAGCCTACTTACTGCTGGGCTTTCTGGCAGGCCATCATCACCATACAAACGGAAGAATTTATTAGTTGACCATCATCATGAAGGACAATTACCACCACAGAAACGGAGGGAAACTTCAAATGATCGTCATCACTCTTCACCTCCACGCGCCAAGAAGGAAATATCGGTTGACCATCCTCGGGGACCCTCACCACGCAAGAAGGAAAATTCGATTGATCACGATCGTAGGCCTCCATTGCCACGATCCAAGAGAGATAATTTGTTTGGTCGTAATAACCGGAGGCCAGCATCGCCACGTTCCAATTGGCTGAATTCAGCTGATGAGCAGGACAGGTCATCATCCCTCCCCAAGAATGAATCCTTAGCTGAACATCATCCCTCACCTAGCCCGCTAAGGCAGGGCTCTCAATCCCCATGCAATCAAACGGAGAATGGAAGTGGAAGAGAATTGGATGGCTCGGAGCAGTTGAGGCGGTCACCACCTCATCATGTTATTAATGAAACTGAGCCTGATCTGCCAAGGACAGCACATGAGTTTCAAAGTCGTATTGAATCTGGAAAGCTTGCCGATGAACCTGAACGGCTCGCATCAGCGCCAGAAAATGGGGAAGAGGAAGAGGAAGGGTTAATTCTGCCAGACGAATCCCCTGAGCATGTTCCTGGTTCTAGGGACAATTGATAAGCATCAGGAAGAAAGTCTGCCATCATGCTGGGTTGCTTTTCTTCTCTCGGTATTCTTTCTTCTCTGATTTACTAGTATTGTAGACTGCAGTTAAACGAAACCTGCGTTAGAAAAAAATGTGGTGGTTTTCATCTCTTATGCAAAGGCTACTACTTTGATTATGCAGAAAATGCGGGGCATTCAAAACCTTGGGCTGGAGCAAAGCCTGGTGTTGTGGGTTGTTTTCGTGTTGAGCCTGCTTCATTTTATGAAACACATGAAGTGAACGATGCTTTGTACTTGCTTTCTATAGTTATCACTCTTGCTTTGCCGGTTTTTATAACCTCTTGATTTTGCATTTTAACGATTCCCTATGGATACGTTATTTGTTTCTTTGTTTGGCAGAGTTTTGTGAGATCTTTTCATTTTCACGGTAATCACGCGCACTTATTCGCATCATGTTGCGAAGGGATCTTTGAATTCCTATTCAAATAAAATGGTTTGGTTTGGAAGCTGACGTATATGAATAAGTACTGGTCTAGAATATGAGTATATAATTAGTTAAATTAACTTAATACTATTTGATTGAATCTATTACAAAGTGGAAATATATTTCAAATAATAAATTGGAAACATTAGCATAGTGAAAAAATGAGTGAATTAATTCAAAGCCCAAGATCATAATAGAATTAGGATTTACATACATACCACTCAATTTTTATGAATATATATCAATGACCTAAAATTTAATTCTTGTAATATTTTTCTTATACATGAAAATGTGCACTCTTTTCATTGTGGTATTTTTGATGTGATTTTTGAAAGATTTAAAGCCAAGTTTTGGATATGCAAGTATATAAGATTTGGTGGTGGTGTAACTAAATGCCGCTGGAATTAAATATTACTTGCATCGCATGAAAAACATTGCTGTATCACCCAATCTACTTGTTTCAGCAGCCTTTCACCCAGTCTCACTCACCTCCATTCAACCACCTTAATTAAAATAAAAGAAAAGAAAAAGAAAACAACCTCAATTTCAAAACAGTAAAAATTATGAAATTGAGTCCAACAAATTAGAGATATATGGTAATAATTTTAAAGTTTTAATTAATTAAAATAGCTGGAAATATGAGCAATAGTGGGTTTATTTCCTGCTGCCACTGCTCGGGTGGAAAGCAGAGCATTTCAAAGCCATCCGACCACCTCAAAGCCGTCGGTTAGATTTTTTTTTATTTTTTTTTTGGTAAATTAATTCGAAGAAAATTTTCAATGCATGAACATGATTAAATTAAATGTATATGAAAAGATAAACTATCATTGAAAGTGCTCTTTCTTAAATGATGGGTGATCGGATCTGGTTCTACATGTTTATATATTTAAATAGAGAAATAGGGAAGAGGAGCCGACCATGACGCCACGGCAGGCCTTCTGACGGTAAAGATGTAACTCTGAAATTTATGATGTTGCAGCAGCTAAATTAGACGAAAATCGGTTGACTTTATCAAATAATTCCAACGGAATAAGTTATATCAGTTTCATTTAGTTTTGATTTCAATTTTAAATTTTATAAAGCTAATATTAATAAAATCTATTTCTAATTTCAACTGTTTAATAGTGACCGGATTAATTATGGTGGAATTAAATTGAAACCCCTTTTTTATTACAAATTTTATTTGATTTCTATTTTTGAATTTTAATAGATATTATGATGACTCAAAAAATTTAAAAGAGACCCTGAAATCAACCCAAATCAAATCATTTGGACTTCTTTAAACATGTGGATCCTCATACGAGCATTTTTTTAAAAGTTATATAAACTGGATTCTTTTCAACAAAACATCAGTTTTTATGAGAAAAATCGATGCTTTTCTGCGGCTTGACTTCTTCGTCTTCCTCCATCATTCGGTTCTGGTTTCAGGAGGGTAACCAATGGCTGTAAATTTATTCAATTGATGCAAGTCTCAATCTCTACTTATGGATAAAAACACCCACCGAACCAATCAAACATTTCTGCCTACTTTTTTTACTCTTTCTGTTATTGTTTATGTGCTTCCATTTACAGTAATTGCTAACTGTTTATTGGCCATCAGTAGTTAATATTCACTGTTTATTATTAGTCAGGAGAGTTTCGGAACAAATTTGGTTATAGGATAACTTGAACAATTGTTTAGATTTCAGATTTTTGTGTGTATATATATATATATATATATATATAGTCTGCCTGAGACCATTTATTATGTATAATATTTTGGCTAATTTTTAAATATTCATTACACTAATTAAAATATCTTTTTTAATGTAAAAATTACTATTTTAGATAGATTTCAGCTATTTGATGTGAAGTAGATGTGAAATGGTCATTTGAGCAAAAAATTGTGCATTCAAAAGAGTTTAGGCTGTTTCAATGCCTAGACCCTAGTCTCTCCTTAAGCCTAAGTTCTAAGATTAGATGCGTAGGTGCCAGCCTGAGTGCCCAGGTGTTTAGTTTAGATGCTTAATCCCCCTAAAATAACAATTTTTTTTAGTGTGAACCAAGAATTTGGCGCCCAAACGCTCTGAATTGGCATTCAAGAGCTCAAAACATGTAAATTTAAAGCTGAAAGTTAAAGAGCATGGCACCTAGGCCCCAACCTTTGCACCTTGGCGTTGCGTAGTAGTTAAGAGTAATTTCGGCTTCATTTTGAAGATAATTTTTACGCATTTTGTGGCATATTTCACAAGCCATTTTAGGAAAATTTTATAAGAGGTTAATGGGCTTCTCTCCAACCTATCGGAGGCCCTTTTTTAGGTTAATTTTCTAGCAGTCAATTCAATGAGAAGCTTGAGAGAGGGGTTGAGGCACAATGAACATGGCAAAGACTAGGGAAACAAAGAGAGCATGCAAAATCAAACTTGTATGGCTGATTTCTTTGTTTTGTTATTTATCATACTTAGTTTCATATATCTTATATTTTTTTTCTTTTCTATCATGAACTAAATCTCAATTTCAGGGATTGGATATACCAAAATGTTATAGCTGGTTTGCTTTTAGCATTTTTTATAGGATTTTTCTATTCCTTTTTTATTGTGTATCTTCCTCATGAATTCTGAGCAGATTTCTTTGTCTTTCTCCCTACAAAGAGAAATTGTTATGTGAAGAATCAAGTTGTTGTGCAATATTTTATTTTCATATTTTCTTATGATTCAAACTTCGAACTTCATTTACATTTCGATCTGACCAATTGAATTGTTAAAATTTGATATGAAACATATGATCCGAAAGGACTATGCTTTTCACAACAAAGTAAGAATCACATTTGATTTCATGGATGAGAATGTAGTCCATGGGGTTGAGTGCAAATAAATAGTAAATTATTCATTGATGGGCATATAATTTGAGATTTTAGGGTGACAGACTAAAATCTATAATTTGGTTCAGGAGTTTGAAAACTAAAGCCCTTAGGCGTAGAGAACGTGAGAACTCTGGAGTAAAAGTCAGTATCTTCCCAGCCTAACCATTGATTTAGGTACAAAATACTAGATTAGTCAATGTTTTTTATCACTTGTAAAAAAGATAAAGAATATAATTGCTTCTTTTGGTACACCACAATTTTCTTCAATTTGATGATTCATTGACTATAATCTCATTATAAGGGGAATAAGGCTTTCTTAAATTTGAGCTCTTTATCACAAAAACTAGTTTAGTTTTTAGTAAATTTAGCTTAGAAGTTCAGAGACTAGCGTAGTAAACTTAGTTTCTTTAGTAGCATTTTTAAACATCGACCTATTTTCTTGTTTAAATTTATATAGTTTAAATATTATGCTTTTGCGTGGTTTTCCAAACAAAATTTCACCTTTCTATGGGATTGATACTTTGGACTCCATTAGAGCCTTTTTTTACTCGAGTGGGACGTATACTTGCGTTTGCAACCTAAGGATGATTTGAAATTAAAAGAACACCTTAATTCACTTGGAGTGACAGCTTTAGATATTTTAAAAGAGAAAACTTATTATACTTAAGTAAATTTTATTGTGGTTAATTTGCATATTTTTTTTAGTATAGCTGCCTTGTGTGTTGTAGTGTTGAAAAATGTTTATAACGCAATAAAAAGTCACCGCATCAAGTTTTTGGCATCGTTGCCAGGGAGACTACAATAAATTACTTAAAAGACTTTGTTTGAACTATAAATTTTATTTCAAAAATAACAAAAAAAATATATTAAAAAAAGATAAAAAAGAAAACAACAAAGATATTTTTGTTAGTGTGTGAGTGCTTATTTTTATAATTATTACTTGTATTTGTGTATTCAAAAATTAAGGTCTGAAAGATCAATATCTTGCCATTCGAAATTAGAATGAACTATAAGAAAAATTCGATAACAAAAAGAACATAAAGAAATGGAAAACAATTTAAATAATCAATGTATAGAAAATAAACATCAACAAAGACTATTAAGAGACTATGTTAATCATTCAATAGATGAAATTCACTTGATTATACAAACTCCTGTTGTAGCTGCTAATTCATTTAAGTTTAAACCTGCTATTATCCAAATGGTACAAAATAATAAGTTTGGGGGAACACCATTTGAAGATACGAATTTAAATCTTATTAGTTTTCTAGAATTGTGTGCTACATTTAAATATGACAGAGTGCCGAATGATGCCATCAGACTTAGAGTTTTTCCTTTTTCATTAAGGGACAAAGCTAAGATGTGGTTAAACTCTTTAGCGTTTAGATTGATCAGAACCTGGGGAGAATTATCTCAGAAATTTTTGGTTAAATATTTCCCACCATAAGAAACTGTGAAGCTTAGAAACGTATGAATAGAACAATTAATGAGTGGGCTAGAAGCTTGAGATTGCACGCCGGACTACCACCAACTTTCTAGTCAGAAGCAGACAACACTGCAGTTTACTTGATCAATAGGGGGTAATTTGTTCCATTAGACTGTAAATTGTCTGAGGAGGTCCGGAGTAGGAAAGAGATCAAATTTTCTCACCTAATGATTTTTGGTTGTCTTTGTTATGTTCTTATCAATCTTGAGTCTCGTAGCAAGGTTGAGGCTAATTCAATGAAATGTTATTTCATTAGCCATGGAGACAAGACATCTGGTTATCGTTTCTGGGATGATTATGATCGGAAGATTATTAGAAGTAGAAATGTGATTTTAAATGAGATGTACAAGGACAAGTCCAGTATAGTTTATGAAGTGGCTCCTTGGGAATCCAAGATGATAAGTGATACGCCACTAACAAATTTTCATCGTCCATTACGAATCTCAAGGCATGAAATGAATCTCGAGGCAATCTTTTGAGTAAGAAACATTCAAGCTTCAATTAAAAGTCATCCAGAGCTCCGATTTCAGCAAACTTATTGTTAAA